AGGGTGAATTTTAAATAGGGATAATTTTTAATGATTTTAAACGTCACAGCTACAAATATTTGGTTTTAATTGGCTTTTATAGGGGAAATGTTGTGTGTGTTGTTTGTATTGTGTTATTTTAATATGCTGTGAGCCGCCCTGAGTCCCGTGGGGAGAAGGGCGGCATATAAATTATGAAAAATAAATAAATAAATAAATAGGTAAATTCACATATTCAGTCCAGGTTTAGCAGGTTTTCTAAGTTGTCCTCTTTACAATAAAAGCTAGTAATGAGAATTTGATACTTCTTCTCAATGCATATATGTTAATATTGTCTGGTATCCAGACTTTAAAAACTTTGACTACTGTCAGAAGCGAACCATACTTTCCATGACAAAGGGAAAGGAAACTAAAATTCCATCAATTTTATTTATGAAACAAAATATTGATAACTGGAAATAAATGCAAACTATAGATATAGTTTTATTTGGAGTGATTAATATGTTATCATTTTATAGCTATATATTCGCATTTATTTTATTAGATTTTTTTATTTTTAAGTATGGTTCAACATTTAAATTTAGTAATTTATCTAACAATGAGTATATGTCAAGAATATCTTGAGTGATATATTTGGTGAGATTTATGAAGTCATTTTAGGAAATACCTTCATGATTATCTCTTGAGAATTAGTTAATACATGAAAACCTCAAAATAGACCTTGCTTGGAAAATGAGATACAGGTAGTTCTTGATTTACACTCATTTGTTCAATGACTGTTTAAAATTATGGAGATGCTGAATGAAGGGATGTACAACCAGTCCCCAAAGCTATAGCCATTGCAGCATCCCCATGAGCATATGACCAAAATTCAGGCACTTGGCAACTTGTCCACACTCACAACCACAGATGCTTCAACTCTCCCGCCCGCCTATCTCCCTGATTTTGCCCTTTTGGCACCCTGAACTCTATGGCCCCCTGCTGCCATAGTTTATCTCCATCATCTTCTTACTCACACTGCTGACCAAGCATGCCTGGCCTAGTCCTCAGTGAGACAGCTGCAAACCACACAAGGCTTCATTCCCAGGGTTGCACATAGCAGTTTCCTTGCAAGGCCTAGGAAAGATGGCCTCTCTTGGCCAGCAGCTGCCTTGCGAAGGGCCAGGGTGGGCATCCTTGTAAGCAGCAGGAATAAGAACATGGTGAGGGGGCAGAGCGCAGGACAGCAGGGACCATGGAGTACAGGGTGGTGATGGTGAGTGTGGCTGGGACTGGGCTGGAGTGCCTGATGTTTCCTGAGTTGGCTCCAGCATTGTGGTAGGGCAGTAGTGGCGAACCTATGGCACACGTGCCAGAGGCGGCACTCGAAGCCCTCTCTGTGGGCACATGCACCGTTGCCTCAGCCCCGCCTCCTCCCACGGCCCCCTCCTCACCAGAGGAGAGTTGCCCCTGGGCACGGCCCAGGCAATGCTGCGCAGCCAAGGACATGGTAGCCGGGCAGTGGGGACAAGACTCCGCCCTTGCACCCCATCACGTGCAGATGATGCTGCAGGGCGCGGGCAGAGGGCGTGGCCACCATGGAGCTGCTGGGCTGCCTGGGTGATCTGTGGTGGGCTGTGGAGGTGGTGGGTGGTCCAGCGGGCATGGTGGAGCGGGGACAGGGGTGGGGAGGTGGTTTTTGGGTACTCGGCCTCTAAAAGGTTCGCCATCACTGTGCTAGGGGGTGGCTAGTGCTTCCCAGGGGCTACAGCTTTGCTCTCCTTATTTTCGTACTCATTATTTTCATTATTCTGAACAAAAAAAATGCAGTCTTACTCTTTGTGTCTAGCTGGGCACGATACTTTTCAAATCCTTTAAGTCTAACCCGTTCTCCCAACAACTGAAGAAACTCTTCAAAGGCTGGGCCTGCTGATTCATTATTGTACATTTCCTCTTCTGTGCTTTGCCCAGACTTGCAGTACATGATTCCCACTTTCAGCTGATAGCTTAACTGTAAATACAAATAGAAGCACAAGTTTGCATTCTTGTATTATCTGTGCTGCATCAAGAGGTACAAAGCTATTCCTTTCAAAATTTATCTCTGTTTTCCGTAATAAGAAAGCTGAGTGAAAAAAAATGAAAATGACAAGGTTCTATATATTTACTATGCTGTATTTCAAATTGCTCCACAAAATAATTCAGAGACCACTGGCATTCCCAATTCCAAATTTCACAAAAAAAAAAAGAAAAAGAAAAATACAAGTAGCCTCACTACTTTAAATCTTAGGTTTGAAAACATTGCTTTATTTTTTTCAGAATTTACAATAATTTTGTTAAAAGATAAATTTGAAGTTACAGTAAATACATAAAACAAGATGACCATTAATCTGATCCAGTCAAATCAATGGCAAGAATTCTTGAAATGTCAATTTATAAACAGCTTATATGTTAAAGTATGTAATTTAAGGTAATTAAATAATCAAGTTGTCCTCATCTAACTATATTACTACATAAAATTTACTAAAATAATGCTTACAATTGAAGTGAGTAACCAATGACAGTGTAAAGAAATCTTTTCATCAGGTAATCTTTTCATCATTAGAAAGTTACCAAAAACTGCAATATGGAAAATAGATTAGCCACGGTACTACTACCTTCTCACTAACCACTGAATTCTCACAAAAGCACCTGGTTTATTTATGATCACTTCATTATGTCTGCTTCAATTATTATTATTATTATTATGCTATTTAATATTATTACTGTATGCTTGACAGAACTAGAAGGATAAAGTCTATGGAGATTCTCAGTCATCCAGGTCATGGTTGTCCCAAAGATGTTTTTCCAAGAGGCAACTGGACTTTCTTGTTTTTCTTGGAAGATGTTTCGTTTCTCATCCAAGAAGCTTTTTCCAAAGATGCTTCTTGGATGAGAAGCGAAACGACTTCCAAGAAAAACAAGAAAGACCAGTTGCCTCTTGAAAAAGCACCTTTAGAAGGATAAAGGCACAGAAAAGAAGCTGAACTTTACAGAACAAAAAGAAAATATATTTATATCTAAAACAGACATTCAGTTAAAATGGGGAAAAACATTTGGAAAAGTCACAGTAGATTAAGTATGCATGCTTGTGGTCTATTAGTGTATGCAGAGAAACACAGTGAATTCCTGTTAAAATAGGTTTCTAATGTTCTGACACAGCCAAATATTGTTCCCCATTCTGAATACTCTTCAGAGCCCTAGTCATCAACTTGCCAGGGACCAAGATACAATATATTGTAATAAAATCTGTTCCGTCTTCAATTTCAGAATGCACAACCCCCGAGAGGCCTAAAATCTACTGACTATAACAGGATGCTTCTCCCAACTTTACAAGGCTTGAAGTTTTGATTGGGCTTTTGGCCATACACGAAAAGCTCAAAAAGCCAGAGTTAAAGATGTCATATATTGCTTATAAAAAAGGAAAACAAGTAAACATTTTTAAAATTTGTTTTCAAACAGAGGATCTCAAAAATGAGGAAAAATTCTCTTGATTTCTCCCCCCCATATACCTATGCTATAGAAAGAAGCATTCTCAGTACAACTTATTTTTTCAAGGAACATACTATATTAACATCTCCCAAATTGCCTTAGGTTCTCAATAATAACACTTGCATCATATATTGGACAAGCTTCAACTTTTTCATTTTCATCTACTCTTAAACTGATGATCACATATTGAGAATGAGTTGAGTATTATCCTGCTAGTGATTCTTAAGTCCAAAAATCTGGATGGTCTCTCCTATTTCTAAAATTAGCATAAAAACCAAAATGGTATCATGTAATATTCCATAAGCCAAAATAGTATGTTAGCACTGTTTTCTGATGAAAACTTTTTGGAAAGAAAGATTCTGAAATAATTATGCAGCTCTAATTTTTCTGGCAGCTCAGAAAGATTCTAAAATTGATTAAAACAAAGGCTGTTGAGAACAACAAGCTAATCAAAATGATAACATTGTTCCTGTTCATCTCCTGAAAGGGTTAGTTCAGCAGAGCACAAAGGCAGAGAACAGGTATATAATACATCTATGTCATTAGTTTTATCCCAAAATACCTGAATTGAATGCCATTAACTGCAAAGCTTTCATTAATATGATAGAATTACAACTTTAAATTAATGTTTTACAAGCAGTACTAAGAACCTAATGAAGTTCATTGTTAAAATATATTGCGATGGTAGCTCAAATGTCATAGGTAGAAAGGCATAATTTTGAATCAGTTTCCTAAGCGATGTCTTGCAGCAATGTATGAAGAAAATACTTTTTAATTGATAATATAATTGAAATAGTTATTTGTTTAAAACGGCTTGTATCTTTATCGCTATTTTGCAATATTTAGCTCCTCTATGTATCTGATTAAGTTATTTGAGAGCAAACTAATTCCTGAAATGTCTTATTCTTTAACATCAATAGATAGCTTTATAGAACATTTTTAAGCTAAACAAAAAAAACCCCAACAATTTATTATTATAAGACTAACCAACTAAAAACCAAATACGTGCAATTTAAATCTTACCCCTTGTTCGTCGAGTTTCATAAGCTGCTCTGTGACTTTAGGTGTATTGAAAGCCAACCTCAGGCAATGGATGTTTAGTTCAGGAACCACATGTTCTAGGACTTCTTTCAAGGGCAACCCTCTGGCTGTACAATGCTTTGCAGTTGAAGGTATTGCATCTTCCAAGACAGTACCTCTTAGCGTTGTAAGCTAGAAATTAAAAAAAATATATATACCAAGTTGTGAGGAAAATATGTTAGTAATACGCAGTAATAGTAATAGTTTTTTTTTTAATTCTCCCACAAAGTATCAACTTAAATGGGATAGGACAATTCAAAATGTATTACTAACTAAGATGCACATTTGTTTTTTTTCTGCTTAGTGATAATACAGGTAGTCTTTGACTTACATCCACCACTGAGTCCAGGATTATGATAAAAAAGTCATGGCAGTTGTTAAGGGAAGAACCCATGTGATTGCCTCGCTCAATGATCACAATCCCTGTTCTCCCTTTTGCAGTCATTAAGCAATTACACAGGGTGTTAAGCAGAACATGGGATGCCTTGGGGGGAAGCCCTGGGAAGTCTGATGCATGCCCAGGCATGCCCTGAAGCATCTGCCCAGCTCATATAGATCCGGCGCTGGGCCTTTATTCTTCATTTGAGATTTTGAGATTTGAGATTTTATTAAATTTATACCCCGCCCTTCTCCCGGAGGACTCAGGGCGGCTTACAGCCAGTTTAAAACAGTGATACAATACAAAATTTAAAAAGATTAAAAATAACTATTTAAATTTGGCCGCTTCTACTAAAAATTTAATTTAAAACCCCTTTAAAATACCCCTAGGCCAGTCCTGCCTGCTGAAATAACCAGGTCTTAAGGGCGCGGCGGAAGGAGGGGAGATCCGGGATCATAATCATGACTTAAGTCATAATCATGACTTAAGTCATAATCACTTAAGTCATCATGACTTAAGCATTCTTGCCATCAAACAGCACTGTCCTTAATGCAGAACATATTAAGCTGTAATAATGGTGCACCTTTTTATATTTGCATAAAGGAAAGACACAAAATAACAAAAACAAAACAACATTTTCGTAAGACTTTAGGTTTGTGTCCTAAAGTGTTAAGCAAACTTTCTTAGGTGCTGGGCAAATATTTGCTCATTTTGTACAATGTAATGGCAATTCCTGACATAGTTTAAAGCAGTGGTTCTCAACCTTTTTAATGCCGCGACCCCCAACCGGTCGTAAGTCGAGGACTAAACCGGTCGTAAGTCGAGGACTAAACCGGTCGTAAGTCGAGGACTTTCCCTGCCCGGGAGCGCCACGCATGCATGGTTCCGCCCCCTGCGCCAGCCGAGGCGTAGCTGGCAAGCGGCAGAGACGGAGCAGGCCAACCACCAGCTGGCCCAGCCCAAGGGAGGTAAGGCACCCGCCGGAAAAGGGGAAAAAATGGCAGACAGCCTTGCTCGGCAACCCCCGTGAAATGGTCGATCGACCCCAAATGGGGTCGCGACCCATAGGTTGAGAACCGCTGGTTTAAGGAAATGTATGTTTAGAGATGCTAAAATGTAAATAATTAATCTTTCTATACAAGCAAAAATAAAGCCTTACATTATGTAAAAACTGCCCTTATTTTCCCAGTATATACAGTATATCCACAGCTATCATCATAGGTTAACACAATTTATGATTATTCCCCCGCCCCATTCTAAGAAGCATACCAAAGGCTGCCACTGAATCGTAAGTTGCACATCACTTGTGTGAGATTTCTGCCGAGTATTGTTAGAAAAACAATTCACTGGATTTTTAATTAGGTTATTTCTTATTCTTTCTTCTCAAAACATAAAATAACCATGCATGTTGGATGACAAGAATCTTGGGATATTTAATTCCAATGCTGTATAAATTGAGAAAATGCTTTGTATAGGAACCACCTCTCTTTAATAAATCTTCTCTGAGTTTTATAAAATGCACAACCGTTTGCATAATATTAATTTACTGACAGCAATTATCCTCCCAATGTTTAGGCATGTGATTTTGTAAGAAGTTCAGCACAGAAATCAAATTTCTTATTTCTTTACAGCCCAGGCATCGCTTACCTCACTGGTTCTGAAAATAATGCGGTAGCTAAACTGGGAACCATTTTCTTTTATTTCCTCAGGTTTTTCTCTTCTGATGCTGACAGCTACGGGACCAAGGTTTTCATCTGCCCCAAAGTAGTTCCAGTGTTCTTGTGCAATTAAAATCAAACACGTATTTGGGGGATGGAGGTGGACAAATGAAAGGATAATTATGTTTCATAAAAGAAGGATACATATTGTTATCACAATATTTCTAGGTTTTAAGATTAGTTCAGACAGAACAATTTTGCTTTTAACACAAGTTCCAACTAAGCGTAGACACAAAAACATAACATATTAACATGTGGATCAGGCAATCAGAATTAAACCTGAGCACCATCTAGAGATTTTTTACTTCGATTGTATCAAACTCAGAAATATCTATCATTATGATCAACTGGCTGCATGTTCCTTTGTAAAATTCCATGGTATGTTTTTTTCAAGTATGTTCATTCAAAAATACTCTAATCTAAAACCATCTTTCCTTTTATTCTTTCTTTTTTAATATACCAAACCAAACATTCCTAGATATACATACAGTATAATAAAACATAAAACACTTAAAATAAAACATATAATAAAACATACAAACCAAATAAATGAACTATCATTATTTGACAACTACCAAAATAGTTCCATTTCAGATGGAATTCGATTCAGGTCCAACTCATTTTGATTTGAAACGCTAAACTGGTCATACCTGATTGATAGTTTTATGGGTAAAAAATAAGAAACACCAGACTACTGATCATAAAGGAGCACCGAAAACATAATCTCACAAGTAGGTAGCAGCAAAGAGTTCCCATATTTTTGCTAAAAAAATAAATGGATATGTCTTATAGTCACTAGGACTATAAAGTAAACTCAAAAGATATTTTACATTACAGATATAATGTAAATAATGTTGATGATACTCTGTTTATATAATAATAAGAGCAAGTTCTGTTTCTAGAACAATAAGAGTAATGTATGTACAACTGCTTTTTTAAAAATGAAAAAATAGAAGTCTGTTCACAAGTTTAAATCTATAGGTATTTGCAGTCCTTCTTAAAAGTCTACATTTCATTATCACACTGAATGACACAAGCTCTTCTTAAAACCGTACATGTTTTTTATACAAATAGTCCTTGACTAGGATCATTTATTCAGTGACTGTCCAAATTTACAACAGCACTGAATCAATAGTGGTTACAATTGTCAAGAGTTTTGGCTGCCCCAGTACCTCTGTAATCATGTGATCATGATCTGAATGCCTGGCAACCTGTTTACAACTATGATCAATTGCCAAGAGAGTTGTGATCAAATGATCGCCTTTTGCAACTTTCCATGCTGCCTTCCCCAAAAAGTCAAAGGGTGAGTCACTGGGGTAAGACTTCCCTACCTGAACAACCTCTCACTGCCCCTCTGTGTTCACACTGTGTCGGCCATTTGTGGAACCCTATGCATCTGCCCTGAACTGTGCAGGTCCCCTTGCAAATCTTCACACATGCTCACCAACCTACGAAGTATATCTCACACACCCTTGCCTATCTGCAGAGCATCTCTCATGCACCCTTGCTAACCGTCTCCCACACTCAGACCCACCCAACCTTGTCTCTCCCTCGCCCCCCCCACCAGCACCCACACTACCTGTGTGGGCCCGGGACTTGCAACTTCCAACCAGCTTCCTCACTGATTTTGGTTGTGGGAAGCTAAGAGGAAGTTGCCTCACATAATGAATGAATTGCTTAGTGACAGAAATTTCCATCCCGATTGCTATTATAAGTCAAGGACTATTTGTAATGTTAAGCTTTTAATGATTATAATATTAAAAATCATTTTGAATAATTGTTTTAGCTTGCTGTGCGCTACCCAGAGTCACTTGTTTATGAGATGGGCAGCCATAGGAATCTGATGAATAAATAAATAATAATAATAAAAAAAACCTCTCTTTCCCTTCCCATGTGGTTCAGGAACTAAAAGGCTTCTGCTTCTATTTAAATCAAGATCAAGAGTTGTGGCCGTTATTAACAAGCCACTTTAAAACACATCATCTTTAAACAGTTGTTTTTGAGGCTAGCCTCAAATTATATTAACCATAGTTAAAGTTAAATACAGTTCCCAGTCCCAAGCCACATAGTAACTTCACAGCAGAAAGTTTTCACAGTGAAAGCTTTTGGAAAAGAGAAAGATGAGAAAGAATGCAAGCCTATAAGGAAAACAGGCCCTTCTAGCTCTGCCATAAATAATATTGCAGTACTTCTTGCTCAGTATTAAAATAAGAAATGCCAAATTTGTAATGTGTGTCATAAGTTACAAGTAGCATATAATAGCTCTGTGTAAGGATTTACTCTGATANATGAGTTACTATGTGCCTCAATGGGCATTTTCAAAAGTCTGGAAAGACTTGAAAATGCTAGTGAGAGGCTTGTGAAGTTTAACTGCTTTTCTTTTCCTTTTTTTTTTTTTTAAGAAATGAGCAGCCTTCTATGCTTCTCTCAAATCTTTGCCAAAGCACAACATGCCACAGAAGATTTGTACAGCCCCTAGTAGATAAACAAACACTGTGCATCAAAGCAGTTCTTAGGTGAATGTTGAGTATACAGCAACTTTTCCAAAGTAGTTAATAACTACTCACCTTTCTGATAGAAGAATTTCCGATAGTAATATGCACCGAGATCCACATGTTCAACAATGTACCTCTTAGCTCTGTCCAAGTGCAACACCAGATTTTCCTTGGGTACTTCAAGTACTGCCACTCCCGCATTTGTGCAATGAGAGCTAAGAGTAGACTCAAAAGAGGCACTTTCACAGCCACTAAAGGATCCAGAGTTAGATTTGGTGAGACTGATGTTTCTTTCTCCTTCCCCACCGATCTCATTACGAAAATACGGGCAACTCAACACAAGATCATTGCTTTTGTCATCTCCCTGGTCCACATTTAAAGTTCCTTTGGAATTCAGTTCTTCTGTACTACCCATAGGGGAATTAAAACTTGCAGAATGGGATAATGGTCCAGAAGCTAACGATGCAACCGCAGCAGCAGAAGCTCCAGTAGTTGTGTTCCTTCTTTTTATAACATTATGCCGGTTAACTGCCACTTCATTTAAATCAAATAATATACTTTGAACATCATAATGAGCAAAACATTTGGGGCACATCCAAGGCCTGACACTATCCTCTGATCGGCTGTCTTCTAGATCTGAAGTCTTTCCAAGATCTCCTTCACCTTTGGCATTACGCAGCTTGCGAAAAATAGAAGAATCTCCTGTCTCTGATTTTGAACGCCTCTTCAGTGGTTTCTCCCTTTCTTTAAAGAATCGAAGGTTCTCCCTGTGAGTAATGGGTCCATCTATCACATCCAAAGAAAATCCTGAACCTTTACTTCCACTAGCTATAAGGAGTTCACCAAATTTGCTGGAGGCTGAACCTCTTTGATCAGACGTTTCATCTTTATAACCTTTTAACAAGTCAAAAAAACTTTCCCCTGAGGTACCCTGCTTATCTATTGAGGAGGTGCTGCCATATTCTCTGTGCAATGATGGTCCTGATTTGTAACTGGGTGAGATACATTCATCATAACTATCCACATCAAGCTCACTTAGGGTGATGTCACTATTACTACGCTGTCTTATTCTACGAAGAGCTTTTCTTGGGGAGCTGTGGTAACCATCAGGTGTAAGAAATCTAGAATCTAAGTTCTCAGATTGTCTTGCTTTGCTTTTAAGTGTGTTTTGGATACTCTTTAACATGACAGAATCACTACTGTTCAAATTAATTGAACTTCCCTGGCTACCCGGACTACTTTTTGAGGACATACTATCCAGACAGCTTGATGTATCCATTTCTTGACTTGATCTACTGTTTTCTTTGACATTCTCCTTCCTTGGAGGCCAGTCTGCAATCCTTGCTCTAACTCCCATTTTAGGAACTCCAGGTGTGGAAGTAAGATGATGTGATCCTTCATTGCGTGGAGGGCCCACTGGAGCCATCATGGAAGATCCCAAGCTACCATTCTGTGACCTAAAGCGTCTCATATAAAAGTCATCTGAATGTATCTTAGGGGTAACATCTGATATTCCGGTGGCAACTGCCCTTTCAGTCTGGGACCGTTTCAAGCTGGTCATTATTAGAAAGTGTGTTTAGTCTCAGTAAGCGCCAAAGGAAAATACACTCATTGCCGCCTTTTAAATGTAAAACTCTCTTTTGGAGAAGATCCTCTAGAAAGTATAACGGGTGCATGAGATCCCAGTTGTGATCATTTAATTTAGTGGCAAATGGTCTAAAGATGCTGTTCTTCAGTCACTTTTCACTTCTTTGGAATTGAAATTCATCCATTTTATCAAGCAGTCATCTTCCCCAAAATCAAAAATACTGAGGGTCAAAGCTTCAATATTCGCTTTAAACCTAAGGTAAATAAAGAAGTACATAGAACAATTAATCATTGCATAAAATAAGTTATAAAAAATAGAAAAGAAATATACTACTTTCTCAGTATATTTTGCCATATGTATCAGTGAAAAAGCAGAAGATAGCTGATATCTTACAGTCTTTATAAAGAAAATGTATTTTTAATAAAGCTGTATTACTATGATACTTTTCATCTTTCCTATAACCTATCCTTATCTTCTTATGACTATAACTTTGCTGCTTGTATCTTACAATTTATAGAGTTTTTTTTAGTATCCTAGTATAATTATGTTGTTTGCTTAGCTAGTACTCCTTGACAGGGGTCCTCAACCTTGGCAACTTTAAGACTTGTGGACTTCAACTCCCAGAATTCCTCAACCAGCTTTGCTGGCTGAGGAATTCTGGGAGTTGAAGTGTACAAGTCTTGAAGTTGCCACGGTTGAGGACCCCTGTTCTATGACTATCACTAAGTGTTGCATCTTATGATTTATGATGAAGTGTTGTATTTCACAACTTAAGATAATGTATTTTCATACTGTATATGATCATGATTATCACTATTACCTGTATGTACATTGAGAGCTTATGCACCGGAGACGCTTGGCCAACCACACTTGGCCAATAAATAATTCTATTTTTTTAATATTTAAAGTAGATGGTTATAGAAAGTGTGCTACCATTTCAAACATAACCGATAGCTTAGTATGAATGAACTACATCCTAAAGTAAGGCTGTGCAAGTCAATTTTTTCATAATGCACTTCCCCATTTTTGTTACTTCCCCCCTTTTATACCATCCCCATATCAGATGTTATTTTTAAATAGATTGTGGAGGGGGAGAGAGGAGGCTGTTGAAGCAACATGGGAATATAAAAGGCCTGCTTCAGGGCCAGTTCTCCTAACTTTGGAATCTGGTATGATACAGCCATAGTTGAGCAACATGTCATCAGCACTAGACACGGTCATTTTTATTCTTTCAGGTCTTTTCATTATTAATAATCTTTAATGTTAATATGAGATAGCTAATTTCTTACTGCTGCTTTTACAATTTATCATTTTATTCTTTATTTTGTTTGTTCTGTTTTGTATGTTTTATAAAATACTTTAATATATGGTTTTAGTAATTATTACGTATGAATTAAATACAAGAAAAATATATACAATTTCAGTAGCAGTAATAATGTGTGAGCAGTTAGCTAATGACAGCAAAAAAGCTCCCTCAAGAGTCAAATTACATGTTATGAAAAACTTGCAAAAATTTAAAAAATGTAAATAGAGGCTGCTGGCAGACAAAGAGATAGAATCTTTCTCTCTTGTATAAACTCAACAAAAATCTCCCTGTTACCCTAAAGATGCTTTCTTATAATCATGACAAATAATTACATTTTTTTTAAAAAAAAGGCAATTATTGCCTTTGAGACATTAATGAACTTTTTGACACTTAAATACTATATAAGAAGATATAGAGCAGTGATGGCGAACCTATGGCACGGGTGCCAGAGGCAGCAGTCGGAGCCCTCTCTGTGGGCACACGGCCGTTGTCCCAGCCTTGTCTCCCCCCGCAACCCATTCCTCACCAGCAGCCACCCCGGAGGAGAGTCGCCCCCAAGCGTGATCCACGTGGAGCTGTGTAGCCAAGGACATGGCAGCCAGACAGCGTAGACAAGACTCTGTCCTCATGCCCCATCGCGCACAGTTGATGCTGCGGGACGCGAGCCATGGCACTGCTGGGCGATCTGCGGTGGGCCCTGGAGGTGGTGAGTGGCCCCGTGGGCAGGTGGGGTGGGGGCAGGGGGTGGAGCAGGGGCGGGGCCAGTTTTTGGGCACTCGGTCTCTAAAAGGTTCACCATCACTGATATAGAGGCTGTAAGTCAGGTTTCCTTGATTAGCTGGGATTGTACTCAAAATAAGATGAATTTCTACCAATGCCATTTCTAAATGGAATTCTGTGGGTTAGCTCTAGGTTTAGAATCATCCTCAGGAAGGTGACTTCAATGGCTTTTTATTTGGTCCCTCTCATCTCTCTGTGTTATACTGATTTACCAAAAATCATCAAATGGGTACTGGGAGGGAGGGGAGGGAAAGCAGACTCAAGCACCTGTCTTAAAATTGCAACCTTTCCCCCATGTGACATGGAGACAGTTCAGAAAGAAGCCAGACTTCCTGTTCTTCCTTTTGCTGCTAGGTAATGGTTTCCCGGAAAAGGGAAAACTAGAACTAGATATGGAATGCCTTTGCCTTTAATTTTAATACTTTGACACTCACCAACCACCTCTATCCCCCAATTATTGCAATTCTGGATAGCCAAAAAAAATAAATTTATAAAGGCCCTCATTAGTAAAGCAACATACATGTCTGATGTATCGCTTGCTTATGCAATGATGTGGGGCAGTAATATGAATTACTGATTAACTTCCACTGATGTTTCAAATACAAACATGCATTCTAAAAAACTCTGTTAAGAATTAAAAAAAAAATCAGAATTATTTTCTAGGCTTGCATTCAGAGAAATGCATTTTGTACGTGTAACCGAGTTCTTATCTCTTTACCAGTGTGGGTGGCTTCATGAACATCCTACAGACTGGTTCCTAAGGCCTGGATATATTCTAGAACAGGTTGGGGTGTGACACATGGCTGAAATCAAGCAGATAATAAATGTATTCGAAGTGTTTCTATTTTTATCCATAGTTATACTGATCTAAAAAAAATGTCTGATGGAGAAAACTTTTAAAAATCTTGTTATGTCTTTCCATAGAGGAATAAGTTGTCACCTTGCAACAGACCTGTCCGAAGCCATTTTCCTCGTTTCTGGTTGCCACAAGATAAGGGGGAGGAAAACTCAACTCTCGGAGTTCTGTTCTAATTGGTCTCATCTATTGGAACTATGGCATAAGTCAGTGTTGGCGAACCTATGGCACAGGTGCCAGAGGCGGCACTCAGAGCCCTCTCTGTAGGCACACGTGCCATTGCCCCAGCCTCGCCTCCCTCCGCGACCCCCTCTCTTCAGCAGCCCCCTGAAGGAGAGTCATCCCTGAGCGTGGCCCACGCGGAGCATGGCGTGAGCAAGAACATGGCAGCCAGGCAGTGTGAACAAGACTCTGCCCTCACAACCCATCGTGCACAGTTGATGCTGCAGGGCGTGGGCAGAGGGCGTGACCGCCATAGCGCTGCTGGGCTGCCTGGGCGATCTGCGGGCAGGTGGGGTGGGGGATGGGGGGATGGACCAGTTTTTGGGCACTCGGTCTCTAAAAGGTTCGCCATCACTGGCATAAGTTTTCTGTACTCAAGATTTTTTGCACATTAAAATATGACTGTAATAAACAAGGTATCTGTTTAATTCTGTTTATCTGTTTAATTCTAATTTTCACAGATGCTGAAATTAAAACTAAAAGAACACAATCTTTTCCTTCATCACACTGCCCCTAAATTGAACATAAAATGCTATATTGTTCTTTTAAAGAGCTTTAACAACAAAACACCACCTCCAAAAATGCACCCTGGCAGGGAGTAGACAAAGGCAAGAGGATGTCAGCATAAAATCCTATAGTGCTGTATACACCCTTTAATACAAAACAAAAGAGAGAGGCTCCTATTCAGACAGCCAACCAGTTACAGAACAAATGGCCTTCAAATACTTACCAAGTCTACGCATGCAAAGATGCTGCTGAACTAGCACCATGTTGATGAAGCAGCATTGTGTACAAATCAAAGATTCTGGCAGATCTAGGGAAACTAGCATTTGTGTGAGTCTCTTCCCATAAGTAACAACTGGCTTCTTCCATAGTAATTAAAACTCTAGGAAGAACATTTTCTGCCTCTAACATTCACCCCATCTTAATGGAGAATTCTAAAATTAGTATACTGCAGAAAAGGGTAGCAGAGGACAAACAAGACTCATAATTGCTGCAATATTTTTGTTGCAGGCCCATAGCTCTTAAAGTGTGATGCAATATTCACATACTTTCAAATTTTCATTGTATCATATCATATTTACTCTGGCAACAGCTAGATTGTTATCAAGTTAATCAAACAATCCATCTTTAACTAAGAAGCCAGTTTACTCCCAGCTTGAAACAGCGAATAAGAAAGCTCCAAAATTTTAATTTTTACTTTCAGAAAAGCTATTAATTTCTGCTACACAATTCAGATTTTTAAAACTTAAGTTAGCAAAAGTTTTGTTTTAAATCAGTAATTATTGTAAGTGACACTAGAGGCAGTCCTCCTTCAGAGGAGTCCACTAAAGGACTCCATCGCTAAGTGATATGGTTGCTAAGCGAAACATCAAATGACTGTTGAGAACTTACAATATCATTTCCCATTCAGTCATTCAGTGAGTAACCACAGATAATTAAATGAGACATTACATGACTGTGCCTTGTGATTTTACTCCCAGCTTCTCATTGATTTTGCTTCAACTGTTGAAAACAAGTTTTGAAGCAAGCAAATGGCAATTACATGACCATGGGATACCGTGATGGTTGTAAATGCAAGCACATTGTGTTACTATAGTCCTAAGAACATCTGAAAATCTGTGTAAGCAATCTGGCCTAAAATCTTACTTGTATGAGGAACTTTGGTGTTGATAAATTAAATAGAACTTTCAAGAGTCAAAAGGAAAAGCTTCTTTATGATGGGATACTTATTACCTATCTCTCACATTTTTCTTTCATACATAGAAAATACGAAAGCCCAGTTACAGAAAGATCCCCATCTTCCATTTATTACAGTAATACCATTTAATAATGGATATTATTTCTCTTCTGGAAAGCTCAGAATAGCCAGTTCCAAATTAGACAATGACCATTATTATAAACATAACGCATATATATGTATCTCACAATGATAGGTAGGTAGATAAGTAGATAGATAGACAGACAGATAGACAGGTATGCACATTTTTCATCATTTCTCTGACATGGATATAACAAATTTTAGGAACTAAAAATAGAGAAAAATTAGAAAGATGAAAATAGTAATTGAAATTACTAAATTAAATTA